TTCATTTGCGCTTTAAAGCTGAGCGAGGAATAACAATGAGTATGCTTGTCATTCAAATAGATGCAAACAAGTGGCCGGGTGTTTAAATATAACCATGGAACGAGTATAAACACAAGCTGCAGACACGAGTAAGCGCAGGGAGTGAACTTTCTCATACCTCAACAATTCGGTCGTATAAAATACCATAATCATGCACGTTTCAAGCTCGAGTTCAAACTCAAATAACCATGGAACAGACGGAAATGGTCATGAGATTTCATACTTCAACAACCCCGTCGTATTAAATACAAAGACAAAGCACTTTCTATGAAGTATTCCGTATTTAATATACAACTCTTACCTAAGGCTGCTGATCTGAGGAAGAAAGCGTTTGATGAACTTCGTCTTAATATGTTGATTGTTCTTTTATAGCTTCTTTCACGGAATGTAGTGAAATCTTGGCTAATTGCAGTACATTCTGATTCCCTCGTTCCCAACTATGGCCTCAGGGGAAGTCAAGATGGCGGCCAAACATTACACCCGCTTGCCAAATTTTTCACAGTAAGCGAGCATTTTGAGCGTGTTAAGAAAAAATGCTGCCTGAACAGAGGTTAGCCATATCTTCCGGAACGTTTTTCTTGAAAAATATAGTACATTTAAAGGTGAAATTTGGCCATTTTGTTCAACTTGTAGCACCAATCGATCAGTGGCTTGCTAAATTTTATGTTTCAAATTACTCAACTCCGGTGAATTTTAAGAAAAAAGCAGAAATTTGGCGGCAAATTTTAAGATATCGCTTTTTCTGTGTTTTTAAAGCTAGTGATTTTCCATCTTGCTAATCCTTGCAGGATTTTAAACAAAAGAAAGTGCTTCCATTTTCCTTTCACAAAAAACATTTTTTAAATTTATAGCCCCCAGGGGGCAATGCCATAACTTGATAATTAACAGGTTTGGCACGACATGGCTAGTGGCAAAAGAAAGTGTAATCCTAAGAAAGTATCCCACTTGATAGTGACTTCAAAAATGCTCAAAATTAGGCAGTGCAACTACCTTAAGAATAGTCGGGCACTTCATTTGCGCTTTAAACCTGAGCGAGGAATACCAATGAGCATGCTTGTCATTCAAATAGATGCAAACAAGTGGCCGGGTATTTATATAACCAGAATATAACCATCAGAACGAACCATGGAACGAATATAAACACGAGCTGCAGACACGAGTAAGCGCAGGGAGTGAGCTTTCTCATACCTCAACAACTTGGTCGTATTAAATACCATAACAATGCACTTTTCAAGTTCGAATTCAAACTCAAATAACTACGGAACAGCAGGAAGTGAGATTTTTCATACTCCAACAACCCGGTCGTATTGAATAGAATGACCAGGCACTTTCTCTGAAGTATTCCATATGTAATATACAACTCTTACCTAAAGCTGCTGATCTGAGGAAGAAAGCGTTTGATGAACTTCGTCTTAATATGTTGATTGTTCTTTTATAGCTTCTTTCACGGAATGCAATGAAATCTTGGCTGACTTCCAGTTCATTCCTGATCCCCTCGTTCCCAGGGCTCTACCCAATGGTTAGCGTGTCGTTAGCGTGACGACCAAAAGGAACAGCAACAGACCATAAGAAAAGTGATGGTGGGGGTAGGGAAAACCAAAAACAAAAATTTCGAGCAAGGACAAATGTCCCCCCAAAACATTTATGCAAAGTGAAACCCAAAGAAAAAACTTCATGCATGACCGTGAAGTACTCAGCTTCTGTGTACCTCCATTTCTTTAAAGTCGAGGAAAAGAAGCAAAGCTGATTTTACAGTCGGGAATGTATATTCTTGGTTAACAATATTTCGGAAGGATCGGGTCCTTCTTTCTTGTACCGTTGGTCCTTGCTTCCAAAACTGAATCTATGAAGTAATGTTTAATATGTTTCTTTCGGTGGAAGGAGTAAACCCTTTGCTTGAACTAGAGAAGAGAAGACAAGTTCAGAGACTGATGAATGACTCTTGAAGAAAAACAATAAAGTGTATTAACGCCCCCCGGTTAACCCCCCCACTGGTCTGCAGAGCGCCGGGGAGGTCGTGGCTGCAAACCTTAGTCGAACTAACAACCAGAGTCTTCAAAAAACAGCATGGTGAGGTGATGCTGGCTGTTATTTAAGACCTTGTCTCAGTTAAGATGATCGGGTCGCTGGGCGGTGACGTTAAGCCGTCGGCATTGAGTTGAAATGCTTCAGTTGCACTTCTTATTAAGTAACGGTGCTCTTAAGCGGGTCAAGCCATTTGCTTCAATGCACACTGCAATTAAATATACAATTAGGTCTTATCGAGCCACTGACGTTGATTATTGCAGCGCTGTATGGGATGGCTTGACCCAACAGCTTACTGAGAAACTTCAATTAAACTTTAATTAATTTTCTATCTTGTTAGACTTATGTTTTTAACCGTGTATAAAAAAATTATCATTCATTCATTCATTCATTCATTCATTCGGTCCAGTTGGTATGCAAACAAGGAGCTCTGACT